GCGTTTCAGGGTTAATGTTGTTTATTTGAAACCGTTTATTTTTTTTAGTTGCACATTGCTTTCGTCAGTGTTTAGAACGAAGCGTGATCATTGTGTTCACGTTCGTAATTTGTGTGCAATACGTGAACGCCGTTGATTTCTTTAAAAAATAACGTGCTTTATACATTGTATTTAATGTATTTGTAAAACGCTTTATAGGCTATTTGCATGGTAGTTATTATTATTAATATTTTTTTTTATTAATTATTATTAATTTCTTACTTATCTTACTTTTTATATTTTTTTTTTACTTTTGAAATTTTAATAACAAAAAATAATCATTATGATAATGCAACACTACCGACATTCATACGAGTACATAATATAAACGCAGTTAATAACTTTTAAATTATTATAATAACATAATAATAATTATCAGTGGCGTAGTCAAAAAAATATTTTTGTGGGCGGGGGATTTAAACTTTAAATTTTCTACTACATAAGTACCGACTTGCTTATTTTAATAAGTCAATTAAACATAAGTTAAAATATAAAATGTGCTGTTATTTAGTTTATAGAAATTGTGAAAATTGTTGAATGATGACATAATATTATACCAATGTCTTAAAATGATTCTATATTTAAAAAAATAAGATAGACATTCAGGGGGTTGGGGTTTTAACTTGTTATCCATTCCCTGGTTATATCACTGATTATTATTTTCTACATATTTAGAATATGTTTATATATATATATATATATATTATAATATATATTTAGAATTGGAATTTTTGTTGATCGTTTTGATAGTAATAATATGTTTTATTTCTTTTTTTGAAATAATATGGACGATTGAATGACGAACATTTATGAAAATTTATAAACTCTACACGTGATTATTTTCTGATTAAGAAAATAATTTGAATGCGGACGCCGCAATACTGATTTTAGGGTAAAATGAACGCGAACAATTTCAAATCTTAAACGAATGTTCTAAACTACATTGATATCTCTTCAATGTTATGTTTTAATGTCGGTGGAAATTATTGTCTTATCATAAATAACATGCAATTGTGTAATTATTTTCGTCCATTTTTCGATTTATCGTTTTATCCGAAAGTGGGGGAGGAGCAGGTACATGGAGTTATTAAATCAGTTATGTTATGCAATGAGAATTTCTGTTGTAGGTATTTGTTCTGATTACATTTCCAGCCTATCTCTTATGTCCGGTATATTTTACAACGTCTCGATCCCGGTATTCCAGGATAAGCGTTAGTTGACAACTGCCATATATTAAATAGGGTCACTAACCAGGTACCGAACCTTATTAGGAACTTGAGTATCTGGATTTACGTAACTTATAAATATTAACAGAAACATTCGAATGAAAATAAAATAAATAAAATAAAACATTGGTTATTGTGAAAGAAGAAAGTTTACTTAAAATAATAAATTGTTAAAAAAAAGATATTCATTTTAATTTGATACGGATAATGCTCGGCGTTTGTAAAACTTCGAATAAACAATGGCAGATCCAGTAAATATTAACCATAATTAAACACTGACCGAACCAGTGGTTAGGTCAGTGGACACGGGGCTTGCGTTTTTCACATGTGAGTATGTTACCATACATCGTACGTCTTGCATACATGTGTACGGTGGTATTATGACAGCGTAACGATGAAAAACACACGTGCACCGTGTATGATATCACTCGAACGACAGAGCGCGTAAATCCTCGAAAACATTGTTTTTCACTTGTACGGGACGACGGCAATAGAAAAATAATAACAATACAATAGTATTAAGTGCACTGACGGTAGTGCCGGGTTGGTTTGGGTAAGTTCCGTGTACGCATTCGACGTCGCGCGGTTTTTAATAAAAAACATTTTATTCGCTGTAGAAACTCGATTAACCGTCACCTAATCGAATAGGTGGACATTTTGCAATGAACATATGTGTAACTTACGTGTGTATTTTCAGAAAAAAAAAAAAATAATACACGTATACATTACATACACATTGAGTTCCGTACTGAATATTATTAAACTAACAATTTCAAACAAAATAATCTGTTATTTTATTTTGTTTTTTTTTTGACGCTCGAGCTTTTTTTTGCTGCAATATTTCGTATTTTAAGTATCCGAGAGACCGTGTCACTCGTCGGTCATTGATTAAATTTAATTAAAAATAATCCGATTTGTTCATTCGCGTCGTGTTTATCGCTTATGTTTGATGTTAAAAAAAAATAGTATAGGTACGCTCGATAGTCACTGCAATGAGTTTATCGCGATTACGAGGCAATTGATCGTCGATTGCGATGACGGATAACAGATAGTAACGAGTTAATAGAGTTTCTACTGTATTTTAATTTCAAACAATTGTATATGTATATAATTACGAGTATGAATGATGTAGAGAAACAGATTTAATAAAAAAAGATGTGCGTATTATAAAATATGTATGATAGTAAGAAAAATAAAGATCTCGCGACCGCGATCTCAAAGGCTAGAGGTATACATTTTTAAAACATTTGTGTATCAATAAGGCTAGTCGCCAAATAATAATAACCAAACTGTGATTCGATCGTTATTATTATTTTTTTTTATAACATTTTTCGCCTTATGTCGAAACACTTGCGGCAACCTGGATGAAGAAACGAATAGATTCTATGAAAATGTATTGTAACATCTATATGCAATAGGTATAAATGTGTAATATTGTTGGCAATTGAACAATAATTATGAGTTTACTCTCTAAACTCGTCAAATTTATAATTATTAGCAGTATATAATAAACTCCAATTATCATTAAGAAGTTGGGATGATAATATAGTATTCGTATCACACGCTACGCATTGTTATGTGATTCGACCAAAAAACACTATCGTAGATCGATTACACGTGGCAGGCCCTATATGGTTACACAAAATAATTAAACAGAATAAAAAGCTTCAAGAGTACGTGGAAAAAAAAACCACAAAGAAATTTGTATCTTATATAAAACTATTTTCAACCCTTTTCAATGCAGATTACAGTAAAAATAAGTCACAGTATCAATATTTGGTATTACAGTTAAAAATAAAGAACAATAATAACCACAATAATTTATACTTATCATTGTATTAAAGATTTGATAGGATTAGGTTGTAATATGCATTTCAATACTTATGATAAATACATAGAAATTGTTTTACTCGTAAAATATTCAAAACTGGATTCTCAAGTAATAATATTCATCTAAAATAAATTAAATTGTAAAATATGTTTATAAGTAATGATTTCATCATTTCGATTGAATATTTTTCCAGAAACTTTTTTTAAACTTGTTACAATATTTATTTATAATTTCATGTTATTTGTCAAATGACAACAAATGAACAAGTTATACTTGAATATCAAAAATGTTTTGTGTAATATTTATATACATTTTCCATCATCCGTCTTTGATAAAATATGCATTTTTAAAATATTACTTCAATGTTTCATTCGAATAAATCGGTCAAATACCGAGAATTTTTTACACAAATTAATGTTATTAAATTCACATCTCATCATGATGTTATTTCTTATAACAAATTTGGTAATTTAAGACTTTGAATATTTATCGGAATTGTAGTAGTAAAGAAAAAATATTTTTTCGATATATTCATCTACCCATTATTAAAATATTATTTGATTAAACATAAGCTGTTTATGATATATTAATAATATATGATGAAATAAAAATGACCTTACTACAAAAATATAAATTTCTTATTTAAAAATACTAAAATATCATAAGAATTAAAATAATCAACTATAACTCTAAAAAATAATATGATAAAAAAACAACACCGATAAAGACGATAATATATGACAAATGTTTACAAAAATTGGGTAGAACGAGATAGATCAATATATCATATCAACAACTATAGTTGTTAAATATACTGGTTACTTGAAAATCTTCACTACCAGGATGGGGTTAGAAGATTTTGGTCGACTGAAAAATTCAAAAAATATCAATTTTAGATTTGATTTGTGATTGTGATTTCTTACGACTGATTATGATCTGCACTATAGTGTATCTAATTGCTCAATATGTACATAATAGATAATATGTATGTTGGGACCACCTAAATTTACCTACATTAAGCAATTGCCTATAATAATCGATATCAATTCAAAATACAAAAATTTATATAAGAAAAAAAGTTTTATTTTAAACACGTGAACCACATAATTGAAAATAAAATAAAATTACTATATAAATAACACAAATAAAATTACTATTTTGCCGTGGAAGGATCCACAGTTAAAAAACTGTGGGTTAGGTTGTTTCAAGAGGCTACCTATTGCGGCTGAAACTGGATTATAAATGTATAGTATACATTTACAAGGTATACAAGGTATACATTGTATGTTTTGTTACAAAAATCCAAAATTTGATCATATATTATGTTTTTAAGTTAATTCATAATTATACTTGAAAACATTGATATTTGTTTTCTCTTGTAGTAAAACCCGTCTTACATGAGATCCGGCATACAGATATTTTACTATAATGCATAATTAAACCAGTGGCGTCATTTTTGAGTGTGGTAACTGGAGCATCGGTCCCAGTTTAGTATTTAGTATTAACTTCAACGTATAGCGGTACATTTTAATAACATAAGAAGTTTTCAAAAGTGCAATTTTTTTAATAAATATTAACTGTGGGTCAGCTGGAATTCTGAATCCTTCTCCCTTTAGATCCATCCCTGCGTTATATATTAATTTAAAAAGTAACAAAAATATATATACATTTAAGAGTACTTGGGAGCTTGGGTGGTACCATAATTCCTCTTGTGTATTCTGAGTTGTTCAAAACTTTTAATTAACTAAATTAAACTATTAAAAATTAGGAATTTGTATAAAAAATTTAATCCATATGGCATGTTGTTTTAATTTGTTTGATTGCCATGTATCTTGCCACATGTATCTTGTTTATACATTTCATTAAAAAAAAAAAAAAAACGTTTAGTAACGAAAACAAAACATATCCATGTCCAAATCAATCGGTCGATCGATAAAATAATATTTTTAACGTACAGATTTAGTTTTAACACGAAGCAATGACGGATACCAACAAACCACCCGAAATGTATGATTACATGGCAAAAGTTTTCGTTGAATTTTGTTAAATCATATAGTGTTCAACGATTATTTTTTTTTTTTATCAGAATCGAACAAGATTCCGAGCAAAAAGATCTAACCACCAAAACTGGATTTCAGCCGCTGCTGTACAATTTTCGCATCGCTCCAGTAAACGTCGACGCCAATAAGTTTGCACTACAACTACCGTTTTCTGTCTTGTTTGATAACCTCATCACGGTTCTGTGGTCCATGTACGGCAAAGAACCGAAAATTAAGTGTGGTAAGGCTTAATTTAGTAATCTTTTATAATCAACATTACGTTTTACGTATCGCTTATGTAAGCCTATTATTAGACGTGTTTTGACGGAGTAACCTTTGGTAAACTATTAACTGATTGATGGTATCGTTTTGGCGAATACTACTACCAGGTTACTGATTTCCTGAACACGTTTAGAAATACCGCTATTATGTCTGACTGATACACTAATTCAACTAATAGAAAACTTGAAAAATAAAGTTTACTATGCTGTGGTCATAACATTCGATTACAAAGGTAAAATACGTAATGCGTGTATAAATATGTTTATCACGGCCCACTTTTGACTATAGAAATAGTGTTCCAACCAAAAAATCAGTTTACTACGTCAAAACATGCCTGTTGTAAACTTAACACTTATATTTTGCATATAAATATAATTACATATATTTAAAACTGTGTGTGTGTGTGTGTGTGTAATAGGTATCAATCAATTGCGATGGGCGTTAGAGCTTTTGAAATGCTTCAGAGTAGATTACCGTTATCCGGATAGCATAGTAAAAATCGTCAAGGACCTCGAGAAACAAATTATTGAACTTTATGCCAAGCTGGGTGGTATGTTGCAAAAAATGAAGGCGCAACGGGAGCTGGAAGAAGAGAAGGAAATCGAGTCGGAAGACGTGGAAAGTTAGTGTGTTTATGGTGTTGTACGCGCGAGCGTGACATGGAACTGGTTGGATTTAGAGATGTGTATTTTTCGTCCGCTCGGAAAGTCACGATATAAAATTTATAAACTTATGACGAAACACGAACAAGAGTGGAACAGGATAACGTTACATATTACTGTTACAATGTAACAACGACCTTTACTTCGTTCCTGACCGTAAAACGCGCGACGGAAACCCCACGCGCGCTCTCACCAGCACATCGTGTGTCAATAATATAAATTGTTTTTGTTTAAGAATCGAACGAGGAAAATGTTTTGGATTATGCCATGAACTGCGTATCGTACAACGAAAAAGATGTCATGAACAAGTTAAACGAACTAAACATACCGATCGACATCGAGACCGGTGAACCGAAAGCCTTAAAGGAACTGAATTCGTTGGGTGGAAAAAAATCCAAAAGCGTTGATAGAATATGTAAACTCGAAAAGAAAACTTCGAAAAGTAATATCCACTACTCACAATTATAATTAACTGTAAGCATAACATTTTATTTACTTTTTTACTTATGTAACAAAGCTCATGTGATTGGTGCACTACAAAAGATATTGAACACTACTACAGAGGAGACAACTATATCAGAAGTCGAAGAGTATGTTAAAATCATAATTATTTATATAGAGTTTATTTTACTAAAACAACGACTTTTATTTTCAGATTAATTAAAGGATTAAAGCTTCAAAATTCAACTATGGTAGAAAAAAAATCGTCAAATAATAAGTAATTTGGCAAAAAACATTCCAAAAATATAAAATATATATTATAAACCATCGAAAATATTAATTTTTTATTATTAAATATCTTTTACTACGTTAGAGTATAATGTATAGATATAGTAATATCTTCTTCCTTTAATAAAATCGCAAAAACTGCCAGACAATGGGATTCTATTCATCAAGCTTTTCCACATATTCATTTCAACATTTTCAATTCGAAGTTTCATCCATTGCAAATCTTTAATTAACATAACTTATATATTTGAGAGGTGATCTATATTGAATATTTTTTTTTGTCTACGAATCTTTCTATTATTGTACTCAGCGTATTATTTTTTCAAATCCAACATTCAATTATTAATTCCATCTTACATGTACTTGTATCAAAGGATATATTGTGCGATCTACATGTGAGTCATTCTAATATTCTAATATTATTTATTATGTGTTTTTTTAGCTAAAAGTAATACATGTTGACCATATTATGTCATCGGAAATGACGATTTTTTATTTCCAGAAATATTATGAAACTAGTGATTTAAAATTCTTAAGTGTTACGAATAATTTTGATCCTCAATTATTTAATAACCTAACCTTCAAGTTTACTTCACCGTTATTAATTTATATGCATATTATATTAAACGTACTTATTAAATATTTTTATGACATTTGAAATTACCCCTACAAAAGTGAATTTGCATAAGTAGTTTATACAGGTGACGTTGAGATTTTCTAGCCATAATCTTATGTAAGCTTGTGTTTAGGTAGAGAACCCTTAGAATTTCAACAAAATAATAAATTATAAGTTTTTAATGCGAAACACATTAACATTTGTTAAGCTGGTTGTAAGTGGCCACATCCCTCTCGTAATAAAAACAAGTATAGGGCCCGTTATTTTCTTTATAATACTAATTCAGCCTTCGGCAACTTTTTTCGATTATTTTCTAAATGGTTGGTTTATTTAAAAGTAGACCCAATTGGAATTGTTTTTTATTTAATTTTTTTTTCAATTGAATTTCATAGCGTCTTGTAGATGTTGTTTACATTTTTTATTGAACGAACATTTCAACTGGGCTTTCAATAAGTTGCAAAATAATATTTTCGAACCACTACGAAGCTAACGGACCATAGGTGTATTTCATTAGTATTCTACTTGTATTAGTGATTGATTATTATACATATCATTGAGCTGTAGCAGCATGACAGTGATAACAAAACAAAATATTTTTTATTAATTTTTTTTATACATAGTTGTACATGTGTTATAAATGTTTTATAAATATATTTCTTAGCAATTTTCAAATAACACAATAAATATGATTACAGTTTTCCGTACGATTTTTAGTCGTACGATAATTTAGTCTGAAAACTACTTGCGGTGTGTCGTGTACTGACGTCAAAAATGATATTAGTCGAATACAGTATTGACGAATATTATGTACGTTTAATATAATAATGTTTCCACGTTTGCGTTATACTCCGAGTTTTTGTTGTGGTTTTTGTTATTTAATTTCAAATTAATTTTGTTGAACTTATGTAGTCGTACGTTTTCCAAACGATTCACAATTAGTGCACTAATGTTATTAACTATACACGTGAATACACAGCACCGCTGCTTAACAACAATAGCGTTAATTATTTGTCTTGTAACGTGAAAATGATTTTTGGAAACGATGAAACAAACAAAACCTAAGGCGACAAGTGTCGAATAATAAAAGTAAATCCGGACAACTTTGGTATTAAAAATGTATGGTACATAAACATACTTCATGTATTTCACAAAGTTTACAAGTACTGAAGAACCAGAATTATGATGGAAAAATATCACACCGAGTCCTTTTTGTGGTTTACATAAATAATCTCGCATGGAAGTTATTACCAAGATCGTTGTTATGAAGTATATTTTTTAATCTTGGTACCAATTTTCACTGGTATACTACCGTCATCGTATAAACGGATTTTCTACCGAACACTGTAACGATTGTTTATTAACTCAAAAAACAATTTTTGTTTTGGTCATAAATACGTACTTTATTTAATTAAAGTATTACATAATAATAATGATATCTTTTCAATAACGAATATTACATATAAAACCGGAAACCACATACATAAATACAATGTAATACATATATAGTTACTAACCACTGTTGGTGCAGGGCGTTAATACGGATAAACTGTATTCCATACATAAGTAATAGTACTATTTACAATATTGTAAATGGCGTACAAGATAATTATGATAATACATAACATATAAATACTAGCTATCGTTAGTGCAGGCGTTAATACGGATAAACCGTATTCCATACATAGGTAGTAATGATATTTACAAAACTCACTGTGACTACACTGCTGTTGGGTGTTGACGATAACAGGATGTAGATGGCTTAGTTGATAGATGGCGATGGCGGCGTAAATATTCTCCGTAGATTGGCTATGCTGTAGCAGACCTCGTGTACCTCGTGTAATGTTATTATATCTTAATTATATATCATGTATTTTAATATATTTAGTTTCTATGAATTCCAAAAAGAAAAATAAGAGTGATTACGAATTGTTGGTGGCCAAACTGCAAAAATCCGCTATTTCTTCCCAAAAATTAATTTATTTTTATACCGATGAATTATTGGAGAATCAAGCAAAACATTCTTAGAAATACCAAAATCAGATGAATGAAATGTCGTATAAAAATATTTTATTATACAATGGACACTATTATAAATAGTTTAAAGGTACGGTTTTTATCTTATCAGATTTTATATACGGATTTAGAATGTTTCGATCCTCAAAGGTTCGATGATATAAGAAAAATGGCTTTTTATTTAATGTGTTAGTTAAAATTTGTGAACTGTTACCCTCTATTGATCAGCCAAAGCTCAAAGAAGAACTCATTTCTTTTGCTACATCTTGGTCGTTAATTTGTAAAGTTGGTTTACAAAGAGCGTATGAAGATTCAAGTCAAATCGATGCTGCTGATAATGATGAATGGGCTAATGAATATGATTTAAAGTGTAGTAATGTAAAAGAGTGTAATGTATATCTATCATGTGCATAGTGTATAATCACTGTTTATAACATATATTCTTTACAATAAATGGAATTGTACAAATCGTATAAATATTTACTGACTTTGCCTCTGACACAGGTGACGTGTGAAAGGTCATTTTCGAAATTAAAATTGTTAAAAACACGATTAAGGTCCAATATTGTACAAGACAATTTAGAATCATTATTCTTAATGCAGTGTGAATGAGACATAGTAAATCAAGTAGATGGAGATCAAATCATAAATGCTCTATGTTTGAACAGCAAAGAAATGCAACGTCTACTCATAAATTAAGATAAAGGTTAAGTTTGTTGTTTTTTTGTACTTTTTTTTTAAAGTATTTAAAAAAAACTGTTACGATTTATATTTTGTGTAATATTTAAATCAAATAAAATTTTAAAAGTAAATGCACGATTTATTTTCTTAGCCTTTTTATTATGAAACATATTATTTTGATTAGTATTTTGTTAAAAATTTCAGAATAAACCATGATCTGTGTTTAACATCTTCAAGCGGTAGTTTGTACATAAATCAAGCATAGGTAGACACCATTTTTTTAATTTAAAGTAGATATAAAATAAATATAGTTGGTGTCCTATAAATATATTTTTTCCTGCGCCCCTTAGAGGTAACCAGTATGGGCCTGAAACGAACTGTTACAGTATGATTATTATGCGTGTTTGAATATATTTAGGACGGAAAATTAAATTTATCTTATTTTTAAATCGTTTTGACATTATTGGCTTTTATTTAGCAATACAGTTTTTTAGGTATACACATGGAGTGGCATTTAAATGTATACCAATAGTTTATCATAGTGACTGACAACGACGAAACATCGAAATGTCAGAAAAGAAAAAAAAAAATGTAAATTTTACATAAAAATCCATCTAATATTCTCTCGATGAATATTCAATTCGCGTACGGACGTCTATAGAGTAGAAAATATTTAGGAAATATGTCAAAATGATCGTAGACAAGTTATTTACATACAAAAATATCTAAATATACTATATGTATATGTATAGCCATATTAATAGTAAACCCTTGACGTATTATAAGTGCCGTATTTCCGAATACGATCTGGGGATTTGGATAATCGAAGGCAGATTGACGTGTACGATTTATGTTACGCCAAGACTTATTACGCTCGTTTCGACATATAAATCACTTCATCGAGAATCCTGCAAACGTTTCCAACCCCATTTCTTACTACCCATCTCATTCAATTCGTAAGATTATATTTCCCCCCTCGTATATTTTATATTATCATTTAGAATGAAAACCATTTCTCTATTTAGTTTTCACAAGTATACATTTATTCTAAAGTATACGAAGATATCTTTTATACGTATAATAATATTCTATAACATTTACGTATATTGTTGTGGTTGCAGAGTATGATAGATCAGAATTTAATTCTAGTACATATTAACTGTGAGTTCGCAGCAGTGGCGTATTTAGAGGAGGCCCGAAGAGTCCTCCTCTGATCCGTGTAGTACATTTGAATATAAAATATTATAATATTATTATATATTATTTGTAAATATTATTATATTTACACGTATTATATTTTATAATATACGATAAAATAATGATTAAATCATAAAACCCTTTCAAAAAATAATGGATAATGTTTCCGAATTGGCTTTTATTATAAATTTATAAATTTAAATGTTGATATTAAAATGTCTCGTATTTTTAATAGACAGACCAAACGTGTTAATGTTAGATTCTATACTCCAGAAAAATATTTTAAAGTATCTTTATGTACCATTTTTTGATAGTTTAAAATTCCAGTTGATTTTAATGTATGATTTTGGTGGTTTTATTTGGTGGGCCCCTCTCTTCGGATTTATGGCTATGCCACTGATTCACAGATAAAAAAGAGCAGAATTTAATTAGTTTATAAAAAAAATTATTATTAAATGAAGTTAAAAATTAAATAAATTAAATATTAAATGGAGTATAATTCATTTTCCACTAAAAGGGTTTTTCTTGTTCGTTGTCGTATGGAATCAATGTTAAATAATTAAAGTTTCCCCAGAATATTTACTATACTATAGTTGTAGGCCAAATCCTTACCGACGACCCAGGGGTAATTCGACCGATTCGGCTACACATAATAAAAGAAATATATATATTATCCAATATAAACCCACATACTGAACATTGGATATCGCGAAGTGTGCCTATGAATTGAGGGACGCGAACACATTGCAGATTGGATAAATCGTCCACAAAATTATACCAAGCCTCAGACATATCATGGGGTAGCTGCTCGCCCAGGAATGCTCAGCTTTCCACGTACGTTGTATGAAAGTCTTGGCGAATAGGGTGACAGGCGTAAGCAGTCCGAGTGGATCAAATATTCGCGCTATCACAGACAACATGCCACATTTCGTAGTAACGTGTCGTTCAAATGGAAAAGTATACATAAACGTCTCATCTTAATGAGACCATTGTAAACCGGCTACCTTCATCCCAATGCCGGCAGAATCATCGAACGACAACGGTTCACACACCCTGTACTCAGGGGGAGTCCTTGTCGAATATGGTTGGCACATTATTGGCCCACTTCTTCAAAATCATACCTTCAGAATGTAAAACTTGAATAAGCCCAACTTGAAGGGAAATAGCTTCGTCTAACGTGTCACCACCAATGCAAACGTCATCCACGTATGTCTGATATAAGAAGGCTTTTATAGCACACAAACAATCATTACATTCAAGCTCAGCAATGAACTTCAAAACTCTGATCGTAAAGTAGGGGGTACAGTATGTTGACCCCGTAAATTGCAGTGTTGAATTCATATGTTTGTAACATTTATTCTGGGTGACGATCTCCACAAAATATATTGGTATCGTCGATGCGACGGAGATACAGATACTTGACGGTACATTTTGCCAGCGATTTGTGAACACGTGTAAATAACAATATTCGATAACCCGATGGTAAAAATATTGATATTAACAATAATAATAATTTTTCACGGAAAAATAAATATATATGACAATAGTAATTCTAGGAAGGGTACAGTTTGAAGATGATAAACAACCGAAAATGTTCTTTGTACCATCTCTTCACAATTCAGTTGTCAAACCAGCCGAAACAATTAGAACAAAGTACTTTATTAGACTTAATTCTCGTTCGATTTTTCTCTCATTAGAGACAGAAGTAGTAGGCAGAAGTAAATAAAATCTGATGTGTTAACATATAATCTGAGTGAAAAAATTGAACAATAACCGCATCTCAACGCCTGTCTGCTGCAGATTGTAGCGACTCGAATGTGTTCGCATTGAAGTCCAATAAATCGGGTAATATACCATGGTGGCAATGACGACAATTACAATGAGTCAAATACACACGCATATGTATACATTCACACATACATGCCTCGTCACAGAGAACTGTGACGAAAAGTCAAAAAGAAAAACTGTGGTTTTAAACAATATACGAGAATGAAAATCAGTGAAAATACGAGTGCTAAACACACACACACACACACACACACACACACACACACACACACACACA